ATTTTTGCACCATGTTTTATTTGTAAAAATTGATGTAACCCATTATTCCAATGCATATTTTGTTGTACAATTCCTGTATTTTGTGCATCAACAGGTGCAATTTTTCCATTTTTAATAATATAATGTTGTTCATTTTTTGAACGATATTTTGCATGTATTGCACTATCAATCCATGTTGTTAATTGAATTTTTGTTACTAATTCACGTAAATGTATTGGAATTTTTATTTTGGGATATTCATCAGGAATTATTTTATCATCATCGTCTGTTAAATGTTCAATATCGCGAAGTATTTTTCTTATATGTTTTTCAGTACATTTTTTAATAAATTCTTCTTTTGTTCCTTCAATTAAAAAAGCATGTTCAACAGCATCAGATTTCATTGTACCATCATCGTTAATCATATCTTCTTGTTGTATATAATAATCTTTACCATTAATTTCTCTAATACATTTTGCTGTTTCTTCAATTTGTATCCAAATTGTTGCTAAAAGTGGTTCTAAATGATCCATTGCTGGCATTGGTGATGATAACATAACAATATGATTTTTTCCATCAATAAGCATTGAATCAACTTCATCAACAATTGCTACATCACATTTTCTTCCCGAACGTGTACCTAATTTACTATATTCATCACGTAAAATATCACCTTGAAAATCACCAGCTGCTCCATAAACAATATCAGCACGATATTGATCTTTTATTTCTGTTCCACTACCACCACCACCACCACCACCACCACCATCGTTACCATTATGGCCAACTGTTAAACCAAATATATTAAAAAATGTTTTTTGTTGTTCTGCTTGTGGTTTTGCCAATTCTGGTGAACTTGTAATAATATCAATTTTATGTCCTTCTAATGCTTTAATTGCAGCTAACATTGCAACTATTGTTGTTTTACCTTCCCCAGTATTTATTTGTGAAAGACGCCCACTTGTTTTCTCTGGATTAATTATTATTAATGCTGATAATAATTGGATTTCTCGTGGTGAAAATGTAGTTGTAATTTCTACAGCTCTTTTTATGACTGCCATTTTTTCACTCTGACTAATATTATTCGGTGCAGATTTAACTTTTTCACTCCACTGTTTTATTTCTGCTGTTGTCTATTTTTGAATAGATTTATTTTCATAAACATTTTCAATATTTTTACGTGCTTCAATTAATTTTTTATCATCATCTTGTAATAATGAAATAGTTTTATTTTTATTTAAATCAAATATTTCTGTTGTTTAAACGAGGGATGTCAGAGTTCCTGCATTTCAGACATTCTACCAATTCTATAGAATTCTAGATTAGTACAGATATACTCTGTATTAGCCAGGTCACAGACAAGTGGAAATGTGTAGAGTTCTATGTAGGGATATACCAAATCCGAACGTTCGGGCTCAGTAGGCTTGAATTCGGTTCGGGTTCGAGATTTAGAGTGAGTTCGGGTTTGTACAGTTCGGGTTTAAGTTCGAGTTTAAGTTCGGGCTTGGATCTCCTAGTAAACTAAAACGCACTATTGTTTAAGATTGAACATTCAACTCTTACATACATCACCTATAGCTTTCCATGAGCTGAAAAAATGTTTCTCTCTTTCGTCGAACAACAAAAATTCTTAGGATGATCAAATATGGTTTAACTGAATATCTGCGGCTTATTTCTTCACATTTACTTTTATTCTTAAGTATCAAAACAAAATCTTACTAACACAAGACAAAAAAGGTTCTTCGCTCCATGCGTTATATAACGCCATAATGTCTGACAAAGTAAAAACTAAAAGGCACGGAAAGCAATAGAAGTAAGTTTGTCAGGGTCGTAGAGTAC